TGGGGACTGTTTTGGACCTCCTGGACACATTCATGTACGCTTTAAAATGAGGCAGAGTGTCTTCAACAATCTAACTACCCACAAATCATACCATGCCCTGCAGTCCCACCTGGAAAATGCGCCTCTCTGGGACATTTGCTATTTTTTATTGGGAAATAGAGCTGGGAGATGAGAAGCTTTCCCACAGAGCAGCACAAAATATCCTGAAACATATCAAGACAAACTGAAGTAAAACAACTTTGCTCTTCGGGTGGAGTCATTTTCAGATCAAGCTGGCTGCAAATTTGGGTGATTTAGTAACTTCTTCACTGCACGTGTTACCATTGTAACTGAAATATTAGAATATAATTTACTGTATTGATCCCCAAGGGGAAACTGAATATTTATAGTTGTATGCTTTAAAGTGCTTCACAATCATTGGTTCCTGAAGGGAGTTATTTTCATTTTTTCATCTGTCTTTTTAAATACCAACCAACAACTTGCCAGTGTGAGTTTCTTGTGTCCTGTCCTGAAGTGAGTGTAAAATTATTGCTTTAAATTGAGTATCTCTCATGTTGCTTCTGTGTGTTGAGCACTGCAGTCTGCGGTGTCAAGGTTTAACAAGCAATCATGCATCTTCTTCACACCCCACTAACTGTAAGCGTCTCGAAATGGTCAGAGGAGAGACTCGTAATTATACTGAAGCTTCCTGGAATGGCTGAGCGAGGCTGAGCAGATGGGGGAGTTCAGATGCCAGAAAGGAATGCAGAGGAGATCACGGGCAATAATTTTGCTTCAGTGCAACACAGAACCTTTTTGTTTGTGACAAACATTCAAAACCATGAAGGTATCACACGCAAAGGTGGGCGGACCGATTGCAAGAGGCACTAATTAGCAAAGAAACCCGGGTGACAGAAGCAAGTTGCCACAAAGTTTCAGATATAATCTTAGGAGTTCAAAAGTCCAGGATAAATGTCACACTAAAGCAAGAAAAAGTTTAATATTTAACATCACAAAAATCTGGGATTTTACACTTGAGAGCAGATTAAAACCAGAATTGGAGTCTGAAATTAAAACTTCACTACTCACAAGTTTCAGACTAAAAATAACCAAAAATTTAGATATGTAAACAAGAAGCTGAGAATTTCTATAATATATTTAAATATGTAAACAAATATACTATAGGAAGAAGCTGGTTGACTGAAATATTTACATGCAAAAACACTTGATAACCAATTTATGCATGAAATAAGGACATATTATTCCAAATTGTATGGTCATTAAAGTATTCAAAAATAAACACTAACACAAAACATTGTTATTGTGATGAAAGAAGACAATAACATCCCCATGTTTGCAAACTTTGTATCTTTTAATTTAGTTTTTGTTTAGTGACTCTTGCTAATTGTTCAAATAAGTGGCCACTGCTGTATTCACAAAGCCACGTCCACATTGGGGGTGTGTGTGTATTTTTCCTCACATTTACTCACTGCAGGATGTGGCGGCCAGGTGTGTTCCCATAGCTGCAGCTCATCAGGCCCAATCAGGGGGAGCTTAAAGAGGAACAGATTCCCTGAGGCAGATGCCAGATTATTTTGCTCTTATGCATAGTAATCAGACTTACCTGCACTGTGTCAATTCTCTCCTTGAAGTTCTGGCATTTATCTTTATAGTTCATGTTCATTTTCTGCCTTTCTCCTGTCCATAAAAATAAAGTTTAAAGTAAAGATTTTTCAGTTGTTTCCAAAATATGTCTGTCAGAGGGTAACAATTGATATTACAGTAAAAAACCTGATTAGCATTAGCTTAGCATTAGCAGATGGTAGTTTTGGAATGCTAGTTCGAGAGCTACAACCAATATTAAAGGTGGTATTTCAAAATTAAACGCACAATTACACGTTTGATGAGGACTCCAAAATTAAAATTCAATTCCCACATAACTAGCTTCTTTAGTTCTTAGCCGTTACGTTACTTTACTGCAGTGGACCTCTGCTTTTCGATGGGTTTAGCGCCCATAAATAGCCAAAATCATTGAATACTTGACAACTCCTCTAAAATACTTATTGTTTAAATAAATACCTGTATCAAGGACATAAATTTCCATTAAAACGGACAGTAGAAACTACGTTAGCATTACCATAGAAGCTAGCTGTCTCCTCCGCACTTATCGGTTCAGCCAATCACCGAATAGGACAAGAAATGGTGCTCCTGGATTGGCTACTGTTAAAGCACCAGCAGCCAATGGCATGTCAAGGAGTATTCCGCTTGAATATTTTATATATATATATATATTATATATATATATATATATATTATATATATATATATATAATATATATATATATATATATTATATATATATATATATATATATATATATATATATATATATATAAATAAAATATATATATATATAAATTTTTTTTTTATTTTTTTTTTTGGAAAAGGTAGTTTGACTTTTTGCATTGTCCTGATCTCTCAATTTTTATCCAAACACATTTTTATTTTCCGCTGTTTTCAGGTTATAAGACGTGTATGTAAATAAACACAACATATCTGAGCTTTTTAAAGCATTTTACTTATCCTCTGTAAGAACATTATTCATTTTTTACAATCAAAATATTGAATTAAAACAATGTTAACATAAATATTTGTCCCTTCAAATGAAAACTCAAGAACAATCAGTAGAGGTTTGTATAAAAGTCTTCAATAACATTGTGATTCTTGGGTCATTTATCGTGACAAATTAAATACCACTCACCCTTTCTACCACACAAAAACCATTTTCTTGGTCTGTTGCCCTCAATTTCACCAGCTGTGGTCTTCCATCAAAACTCTCTAATACCCAAGGAAACATTTACGTAGAGCAGAGCTGCATGTGGGAGGTTGCAACTCATATCTTTTTCTACTTTCCTCCTCCCCGACAGGGTGATGATCTGTAAAGAGAGTCATTAAGACTTCATTTGTGACTGCTATGTGCATGCACACACTGCCAGCTGAAGGTTATCCATCACCGGCAGTCTCATTCATCACTGTGGGGAAGTAAGGATGCAGAGGGTTGCCGCTTCCCTGTCTCACCTCTGACCTCTAAGATGTATGTGCCTGAACACAACACGAGTCAGATGGTAAAGGTTCCAATCGGGTCATGAATGGCTAAGACACACTAGACCATTGTGTCCTTGAGGCTGTTTGCCACTGCTGTAGTTTGACTGCATTTTCTTTTCCTCTTTCTATTCTACTTTTATAATATGAAGGTTGTGAAAGTTACCCAAACCAGCCACTTCCTACTTATATCATTAATTAATCAAAACACAAAAGATTAATTTAATTTCAAGTGTTGTCCTGACCTGATTAGGCCCAGAACTATAGAATAGTTTGAAAAAAATTGCAGTACCAATCTGCCAGCAGGAAGTTGGCAAAAGGAACTCAAAGAATCACATAAAAAAACTAAATAAAGACAAAAAAAAAAAAAAAAAACATATTACAGTTAGCAAAATGATCTTGACGGTCCACAAGTCTTTTGGGTCATAATCTGTGGAAGGATTAGTCAAAACCTGAACTTTCTGGTGGGTGTAAAATCATAGCATTACAAAATAAGAGATAGCCATACCAACTGTTCAGCATGGTGGTGGTAGTGTGATGGTTTGGGTCAGCTTTACTGCTTCACAATCTGGATGTCTACAGGATTTCTGCTCTCAAACAAACAACCCTGATGGAGAATGTCTCAGAGTTTGGTGATGCACCACCTTTGAATATCTATCAAAAACAAACAAAAGTTTTTGAGTAGCCTAATCAAAGGATAATGAATGACTATTAGGCTACAAATTCAGCAGCAATGTAAGACTCTATGATTGACATTTCTTCACCAACTTGGAGTAGATGGTTGTTTTCCATAAATAAGTAAAAACATAATTTGAAAACTACTTATTGTATTTACGCTGGTTGTCTTTGTCTGATTTTAAAATATGCGTGATTCTCTAAAATGATCTGATAAAGCCCTCTAGCATTCTCCACACAAACCTAAAAATCTAATTTATGCCCACTTTGCATGTATTTCCTTTGGTTGACCAACTTCCTAATGGGAAACGTCAGACAGAGATAGACGCAGAGGTGCGAAGGTTCAGGAATGCATCTCCAGTCCAATTATAGGTTTGATCCCCAGGAGAACTCAGCCTTGGTAAAAGCATCCTTGAGAATCACCGGTGCCTCCTTTTTGGGGGCTGGATGGTGTTTTTGACCTCCATCATGAAAGTCATGCATCCTAAATACATTCAAGAAGAGCGCAGGATAATTACACTGTGCATAATGAGGAGAGAGGGGGAAAAAGCAAGTGTCAGGACATTTGAGGAGAACGCTTCCTCCTTGTTGACCCTCCTTATTACTCCACCAGATAATAAGAAAATAGTTCAAGCCGTGCTTCCAAAGGGACGTCAGAGACGTTTGGGAGTTGAGAGACAGCTCAACTCTTTGATGAAGGGTTCTTCTCCTGGAGATGCAACTCTGCCGCCCTCTTGGAAGCCTCCATTGTGTTCAAGAGCATCCCTTAATGACGCCCGGCGGTGCAGATCCGCAGCCTCCCCTCTCGGGTTCCTATGGTAACCGGTCAGAGTGAGTTTGTCTGAGGGGGAATCGTGTTTGTGTGTTCATTACAGCAGCGTAGCTTATTTTAACATAATGAATCAATTATCCCTGCTGCCGAGCGGACTCATCTGAATAATAGCACCCTGAAATAATGAAAGCAGCATCAACACGACATCGCTTTGCTGAACGTCCCCTCTCATCAGATGGGCTGCGGTGCTCTGTGTGTGTAAGCAGAGATGGCGGTATGATAGGACATCCATCTGACATCATTTGTCCTCCAATCGGCACCCTGCTTGCCAAAACCCAGCCTCCAAAAAAATGTTTGGTTGGGTCGAGCCGTGGCACCCAGAGAGAAGGGGGTCGTTCACCATGTGGGTGGTGGTGTGCTACACTGCCCCCTGCTGTCCAGTGATGATTACATGTCCAAATAAATTTCTTAATTGATCACAGATGTCAATGTTTTATTGTTGGTGACAGAGCAATCAAAAATCCTGCATGAGTTTATTGAGAGAAGTTGAAGTAACCTGATTACATCAGGCAGGTTGTCATCTGTCACCTTTTTAGGTTTTAATGAGAAGTTTGTCTGCTGTAATAGAGCAGTAATTTATGCAAAACACATTACAGAAAGCTAAAGTTAACTAAAACTAAAGCCTTTTTTGTTTTGTTGTAAAAACAGGAATGTAATTGCTAATTTCAGTGCAAGAAAATGTTTTGTCAGGCCCAACAGCTCCCCCTTGTGGTCACTTATGTGATTTTATCTCCTGATTTTGCCTATCACAGGCTTCACCAGCGTGTATTTGTCCAACCTGTCCTCCAGCTCCTTAATGAACAGGAGCATCTTTGTGTAAGGGCCGATCACTTTAATGCAGGAATCCTCCAACACATACAGAACGTTACCATACCAGGAGTTCACATCGTTGCAGATCTCAATCAGTTTCTGCTTGTCAAAAAACTTTGTTTTGTTGTAGGAGAGGTCCTGAACTCTCAGTTGAGAGTGCCAAAGGCTGATCATATTCTCCAGGTATCTCAAAGTGTCTTTGAGGGTTCTTGATGAAGCTCCAGATGTTTGTTTCTCACTCAGCAATATTTGCATAACTCCAGCTCCTTCTACTTCCTTGGTAGTCATGTCAACATCCTTCAAGCACCAGTCTAACTCCATCTTGCAAAATTTTTCTATGTACCTGAATGTGTGTAAATCAGCCAAAGTGACTTCCGAAGCCCCTGTGTTGCTTGTTGAGGGAGTTGCACCTTTTCTCAGGTCATTCTGAGGGAACTTACTGTTCCTAATCAGGCTGCTGGGATCATCCCAATAATTAGCTCCGGTCTGGATGGCAGGGATCTTGTCCGACCTGCTGGGTTGTTGTGGACTCCTATAATCTCTTTGTTGTTTAGTGAATGTCTCCTCCATGGGGAACCATGCGAGCCCTGATGAGGAGACAAGTCGTGTGTTTATTTCCTTCCCAACGGCTTGTCTGAAGCTCCCTCCAGCCAAACTCTCATTAGACACTTTCTGCCTCAAGGAAGCTTTTGGAGTTTCTGCTTTTGAGATCAGGCTTTGGACTTCTCTTGCTTCTCTGGTACTGCGAGGTGACTTTGATAAGCTGCTGGAGTTTGCTGCTTCCCTGTTTGCTTCTGTGCTTCTTGGGTTATACTCGGATGCTAGTCTAGGATGAGGAGAGCTGGCTCTGGGTTTACCGACTGCGGTTTGGGACGAGGGTCTGAGATGGCTGGCCCTGCGAATGAGGTCCTCTTTCAAGGCTTGAACTGCAGAGAAGGGACCCTCTATGGAGGCCTTCCTCTGCTGGGGCGACGCTTGGAAGCGGATTGATCTGTGAGCTGATTGCAGACTTTTGATGAGAGAGACTTGATCGCTGCCGAAAACGGAGAGATCCACTGTAGCTCCAGCCACGTACAGAAACACCTGCACCAGAAAAACAAGTCAGAATCAGAACTTTGTGTGTTGAGGATAAAACATGAAACAGGTTTTAATTTGGGAATTGGTGCAAAGTAAAAACCAAACCATGCATACATCAGTGCTGAAGGGAAACACAGTGAGAGCGTAGCTTTGAGTAAACTCCTCGTCCATCATGAGTTGCTGCTCCTTTCTCACGACTCGTTTTGCATCTGCCGAGAGTTTTAATCAGTCTGTTAAAGTTCTCCAAAAAAAACATGATGTTTTGTGACAAATCCTCAACCCCCTTTAACTATAAGTCTTCTTTTTTTTCTCTCTTGGATGAAGCTACCATTGACTTCTTACAAAAAAGTACTCCTGATCCTTCGTGTGTGTGAAGACTGAATTCTCAAATTCCCAGTTGTTTGTGGCAGATGGATGCTCAAACTGATCCTGGTCCTCCTGGACATTTCTTCCTGTTAAATGGGATTTTTTTCTCTCCACTGTTATTGAAGTTTTCAACCTTATTCCTTCACTTTTAGATATTACCTTGCTCCAGCACTCCTGAATCCTTTTTCATATTTCTTATCATGATATTTGCACTACCTTCTCAGCACATGAAGTGATGCAGAAGCGGCATTTATTTAACCCTTGTGCGATCCCAACATTGTTTATTCCCTTTGTCCTGCAGGTCAACAGTGACCTCCCCTAACAAAGCATCGAAATAAAGCAGATCAATTTAATTTTAAATCCGAAATCTGTTTTGCACGATGAAACAATCTGATATTTATCAATTCAGCTCAATTTAGTTTAATTTTTATCATGTATTTTTGTTACAAAATACAAAAAGACAGTCAATAGTATTACACACTTTCTTCTTTTTACCACAAACAAACAGTTTTCTGTTACACAGTTTACGGTATTATTGTAATTATATAAATCTGAAATTATTACTTCTGAATTAATTAAACTGAAAGGGAAAAGAGTAGATAATTAGGATACCTCTCATAATACAACACAACAAAACGAACAATTTAGCATCACTTCTTATGTTGCGCCTTATAATTAATAATTGTTCAATACAAGAACATCTTCTGCTCAACATAAGGTGTTGAACTTAGAAAGATGTTTTTATGTTGGGGATCTTCAACATGAGCCAAAAACATCCCATCCTGTCCACCCGACACTGAACATAGGATGAAGAACATCTTATAAAGATGCTCATATGTTGAACATCATCTTGTCCAACTTCTCATGCTAAAGATCCAAGATGGCGGCAACACTGACCTTCTCCGCCTGAGGAAACCGAGATTTATTTTATACTTTCAACAGTTCCGGGGTGAAGCGTGACCTCCAGAGGGAAGGCCTCGGAGGTCAACGTCATAATGAAAACACAGAACCAGTCTCCTAAGACCAGTCTTCCCCCTCCGGCGTGAATCTAAAGGTTTCCCTCTAGAAATAGCAGCTACTTTACCTTCAGCTTTGTCAAAAGTCACAAAAGCTACTCCGCCCATGTTCGTGGGGTATTTCACGACTTCCACGTCCCCTCCGTGACTTCTCCTGCGGCTCTGAAAGTGGACAGTCAACTTGTCGACCATCCTGCTGAAGTCCAGCACCGTGGGAACACCGGACACGACCACCGTCCTGCGGCTGTCCGCCATCTTTGTAGCCATGGAAGCCAGTAAACATCGCAGCCCGCTCTTTGCCGCCTTTTCTCCAGCCACGCTTTGCGTTGCTATACCCACTCACAACTAAAGAAACCGTTGTTTCATTTTCACTCTCGAGTGAAAACAGGAACATCCTGTCCGCTAGGTGGCTCCGTTCGTCGGATTGACTGTATGCTGGTGCAGTAGCGCTATTTGTCCACGAGGTGTCTCTGTTTACCCAAATCCGAACGGACGGGTTTAAACCGCAGTTCGGCTCTTTTTTTCCTCAGCAAAACCAAATAAAGCTGGCAAGCAGAGACACACAAATCCCCAGGAAACTGACCACACCCCAAGGGGAAAAAAAAGTTTAATAACCTGACTTAAGTGTCAATATGTGTGGTGCAAACATTTATTAAAGTCAAACAAACCAGAAAAAAGTATGAAAAACTCCCGTTTCACAAATTAAGTCAAGAGTGACACACTCTGTTTGCATTTTAATTGTGCATTTAAACAATTTTAATTTAATCATATAAAACAAAGTGGCCTGGCGAGTGCAACAAACAGGTATGGGAGGGAGGATCATAAAAGAAAAACAAAACCCAGGCTTTGATACGTTTCAAATCTTTCACTTTGATTACTTCAGTGCAAATGCAACATTCACTGTGTTTGACGGTTCTTTAAATAATTCAGGTAGTCTCTATTATTCAGTGTTTTCACATTGTACAGATGTTACTGGGGAGAGCGTTAGGTAACCAACTGAAGATAAAAGCTAGTTTTGTAACCTTTAACAAAATTCAATTCGTTTATTAAAAAAAAAAAGTAGGCAAAAACAAATAGGTTGTGTGTGTGCCTTGGTCTACTGTCCTATACCTGCTATCACAAGTTGCACACCAGCTGGCAAATAAATCCTCTAAAACGTTTTGGAACAGAAAGGCAGATTTGCTGAACTCTGTACAAATCCGTCTGCCAGGAAGAAACAAACAAACAAAAAAAAAAAAGCTACAAAACAAAAATAAATGTGAATGTTCACAAGTCAAACATCTGATACTTTGATTTGGACCGGGTCTGAGAGCCGGTCCAGAACTGAGGCAGCAGAGGTTCATGTTGGCGCCTTAAAATTGCACCAGAGACCCAAGCGGCGTCGGGCCGCCTTGTCCGAGTCACGCAGTTCCCACCTTTTGAATCCGGTGCCAGAGTTTTTAAGGTGGTGCGTTTTGTTTTTCTGTTTTTGGCAAAGACGAGGTGTGATGAGGCCGGATCTCCACCAGGAGCATCGCTGCTCGCGTCGAGCCGCTGGATCGATCCGCCGCCGCTTCACAGAACCTCCAGAGGGAGTCTGTGCAGCCGATCCCCGCTGGAGGACGCGTCATTTCCAGGCTCTGACTGCTGCTCACTGCAGACACACCCAGGCACGCGCACACACACACAGAGCTGGTAAATAAAACAACCATCATGGATGAAGAGAAAATCAGAGCTGGACCGTTGAGGCTTCGACAAACTGCTGACATTTTCAGACAAAACAGAGTCTAAGATTTTTATTCTTATTGCATAAAATCAAAGGAGGTAATTTTTTTGTTGACAGGAGAAATTTCAGCAAAAACATAAAATAAAAAAAAATAAAACTTCAACAATAATAATACAGCTGAATGATTAAATTCAGCACATTTCTGTCAGGGAAAATATTGCCGTTGCTGCAGGTTCTTCTGGCAGGTGTGATTTCTGCCTCGTCTGTAATTTATTCTGCTTACATCCATCCGCCGACAGACGCTTTTTCCACAACGGAGCAGCACGGCAAGCATAATCTGACAACAAGAAAACTGATGCTACTTTCACTTAATCTGCTAAATTGGCATCAAAGCAGCTGGTTTTTATCGGCCTGATGGCTCCTGTCAGGACATAAGCGCTGCTTGTTGGGGAATTTTTTTGTGTGAAGCAGCTAAAAGATGCTGTTAGATTTAGTGGAGCAAATAATAAAATTTTCCAGTTCATGAGAATATATTGGTACAAAATTCAATAAGTTAGAAGTTAGAATTGTTTTTCTTAATTTTAATTGCTAATCTGTAGTTTAAAAATTTCTTCCAAAAGGAGAAATTTTGCCCATTCTCCCATTCGGTGGAGGACTTGTGATCATTTCAGTTTATCAAGTTTTTCATGACACACACTAATGTTCCCAGGTCACAGCATCACACATCTTCCACCGTGCATAAGAGCACGGTGGCATTTCAAAGACGTTTTCCTGCAATTAAAGATGAATTCACTTTAAAAAATGAAGCTGTTCCATCTGAAATCTCCTCTCTACATACACTGAGGTCTGAAGATAGAGGCTTTCTGCTGGACTTCCTCCCATGACCGCTACGCCAAACTCCCAGAGGACCCTGCAGTGGCGGAAAGAAAATCATTAGAATTTAAAAAACGACAACGGATTTAAGGAGTTTCTCCTTGTAAACAGATTTTACCTGGTGTTTGGTTACCATGTGCGCGGTGTGCAGCAGGGGAGGCCTGATGGAGGGTTTGTACTGCAGAGGCTGACCCAGGAGAGAGTAATGCGCTTCACCTGGAAGAGAGGTGAACCAACGTTGAGTAAATCCTGAGCAGAACTCATGTAAGCGGATCAGAAAGGAGCGATTCGGACCTTGTCCACTGTGGATGAAGGCTGTAGGGAGCTGCGGGTGGTGGGACAGGACGGGGATGGGGGAGACGCCTGACGAGAGGGCCTTGATGTGGGGCGGCTGGCAGGGCGACGGGGTGAGCGCCGGAGACGAAGGCAGGCTGCTCTACAGCCAACCCGCCGGTGGCGCAGGAACAAGAAGCAGACAAACACAAACACTTTCATTAAAAACAACAACAAAAAAAAACTGCTACTCCTCCAACTACTTCGCCAAAGTCATTGCGATGTTCTAGTGGTTGCTTTAATGTACCATTTCTTCCACATTAGTCCCACTAATGTACCATTACACCCCGGCACTAAGGACTATTTTCTCCTCGTTTTCAGGTTTTCGGCGGCGCCGGCTTCATTTGCGCAGCCTATTTGCGGCGACATTTAACCCGCCTGCCGCGGCGGGGAGAGACCAAGTCTGGCTCAGGGCGACAATTCTCAAATCACTGTCACAACCCGACTAAATTAGCTTTTAAATTGCTTTCTCGACACTGCAGCGGCTTGCAGACGTACAGCGAGGTTTGTCCCCAAAGTTGTGTGAGCGTGCTAATCGGGAATGGTTGGAAAACAGCAGAATCAGAATTGGAGGTCCTCAAAACTTCAAGAATATTTTTTTTGTGCAGCATTTGTACCTGGGTGTTATCAGGAGTCTGGGAGATGTCTGCCGGCCTGCGGCCGCGCTGCTGCTGCTGGTCAGAGTGTTTGTGGCTGGGCTGCTTCCTCTGGCAGGGGGACGGGGCCCGGGGCTGCTGGCAGGGAGGAGCGGCCATTTGCAGCATCACCATGCCGCCGCTGGGCGCCGCTGGCAACAACCCTGGATGCACACAGATCGATTAGGAGGACGGGACCAACAGAAACACACATCAGATCGTTATTTATGCACACCTGATCAGTAAATAAGAAAAAAAGTTTCCATTCAAGAATTAAACACTCCAATTATCTAATTAGACATTAATGCAGCCCACAAAATCAAACGATTGCATACATTACGGTTTAATTAACGTCTGTTTACCTTCAGCGCAAACTTTGGCCGTCGTTGATTTATGAAATTATTCTCTCTGACAGTAACAAGGACAACGGATATGTGGGACAGTAATCTGTCGATTCTGAGCAGCCCAGCCAATTAAAAGTGTTTATTGGTCTTGCTGCAGGTGAGGCCGCAGCGAGACCTTCGCCTGACCTCATTACCGAGAGGCTGGAAAAGACGGCTCCCTCCTTTGAGCCTCCATAATAATCAGACATGAATAATAAAGGTCATTAGAGAGGAGCATGGGCAAAATAGACTGAAATGCATAAAAACACACAACACTCAAGCTCATTGTGAGCTATTTTTGTAATGAAAGCAATTGTGTAAGCAATTTTCTAAGTAAGAGTGACAAAAAGGTTGAAGGTTTGGGTCAAACAAACTGCAATTATACAGAAATGCCACAAGGTGGCAGTAATGTATAGCTAAAACAAGACAATGCAAAAAAAAAAGTTTTTATTAATATTGAATATGGTGTGTAAAAATAAAATAATAATGAAAAAAATGTACATTGTATTATATTCTGGGTATATGGTTTTGATATTTTACGAAATATTACATACGTTTTTTGGGATTATCTCGTCATTTTGAAAAATGTAACTGTTCAGAAAAATGTTTTAATGCGTTGTATGAAAAAAAAAAGAAATAACAGAAGGAAAAATGTTCTTGTAGTCGTCAAGTGTCATTAAACTCAATCGGTCTGACTAATTCTTGGTTTTATAAAATCCCAGATCAACAGCTGCTGAAACATGATTGCTGAGAAACAAAATGAAGCCAATTAATATACCAGAAAAACAACACTTCCCCCTGGTGGCAGAAACAAGCAACGACATGTAGATTGCAGAAACATTTTCATCATTCAAACTTAATTTGCATGCATCCATTAAAGATCTCTTCTTGCTTCATTATAAAGTTGATTGCAATCTGGACAACTTAATTCTATTTCTTTGTTTTACTAAAAATCAAATCTGCTGTAGAAGTTCACTGTATATTCCTGCTGGGCTTGTTTTGAAGAGTAATTTCTTCCCGATGGGAACAAATAGATTTCTGCAGCTTTAATTGAAACCAACTCTTAACAACTACATCACATTATGCATCTCACTTCCCCCTCAGAGGAGACATTTGATGCTCTCAGTTTTTTATTGTGACTTGATGTCAGCAGGATGGTTTTCGGCAGAGGACGAAAGGTGCACCAGCAGATTGCAGTCTCTCAGAAACTAACGGCGCTCTTTTTCATTTTAAAAACGCCAGAGAGGAAATCTAATTATGCGTTGCTGCACAAACAAAAGCCAGAGTCAGCCTAGGAAGGATTATTTCATTACTGGATGCAGACCGGTGGCTGTGCAGGAATGCATTTTGCAGGTTATTGACACTAAGAAATGGAGAGGGGGAAGTGTGTTGGAAGCGTTGGCAGTGATGGGGAATCTCCAGGGTGGCTCGTGTCAGAAGATGAGAATATTCTCGCTTTCGCTTCGTGATCCTACTGTAAAAACGGGCGAGGGGTTTGAAGGCGCAGCTACCTGCGTACTGCTGGCCCGGGTGCTGCTGGGAGACGCAAGGAGACGAGCTTTGAGGAAACTGGAGTGGCTCCATCATCGGGG